TTCAGTCAATAACTAAAAACATGCTGAAAAAGCAACCACAGTTATGAAAAAGTTAGTGCATATTTTTTACATAAGATCATTATTATTCAAATGCAATTGGCACTCTTGGATGTCCAATAAGCATCTGGTTGTACACTATGAGGAAAAGGCAGACCTGTGGTTGGATTCAACACGTTCCTTTTCATGTTCATTGCTTAATAATAGTCAGGTAAGCTGTTTGGTTCTCATATCACATTTAATAACCTAAGAGACAAAAATAATATATATACAATTTAATATTACTGAAATTGGATCAGAATGGCACTCTGCTATAGTCTACTATGTAAATGATCAGGCTCTAAAAATTCCACACTGGAATTCGTATCATGCTGTTGTATGAAAACACAATTAAAACTGTAATGGAAACATAGAAACTATATTGTAGCCAAGCCATTTATGCCTATGGTATAGTTTACCTTCACTTGGATGAGATATAAACCATTTCTTCTGGGAAGATGTTTTGAATAATTACATTTCAATGCATGAATGGGAATCGGATTGATCCTTCCATTACCTATATAGATAATCTCCATCAATGCTACTTTACCTGACAACATCTTGGAAAATGTACAGTAGGTCTGTGACTGTAACATGGTCATTTTTTCCCCTTCTTGTATAAAATTTTCTAACACTTTTGTCTGATGATGAATCCCATAGAATTTTGAAAGTGTGCATATTGTATTTTGTGCAGTTTTGGTTGGCCCGATAAAACAATCACTGTTTTGTGGATTTCAGATGTAATTATCTTAAATCCACAAAACATGTCTACCCATAAATATGCAATCTAAGTGTATTCAGAACCAGTTCTGATTCTGAAAAAAATCCAAGATACCATTGACATATGTTTGTGGATTCAATTGAATATTTACAAAATGTTCTGCATGTACTCCTAGGATGCAAATTCATAGTACCTCTAGCATTCTCTTGCTTTCTCTCCATCTCCCTCCCTCTCATTTTCTCTTTCTCGGGCTGTATCTACAGTGCCATATAATGCAGTTTAAAGCTTCATTGTAATCAGTGCAGATCTATATAAGGCAGCTCAGTCCAGGTAAACAGCATTATATGGACAGTGTACAACAACTTTACTCTCTGTCTGTCTCTCTCTGTGTCTGTCTGTCTGCCTCTCTCTCTCCTACGCACACATGCAAACACACACATAGATCTTTGTACCTTCAAATAACATTGTGTCATTGCTGCTTTGACCTGTGTTCTGCATATCAGGAACACTGGGCATGGATCCTATGGTACTTTGTCCAAGCATTGTATCCCTCTTGCAAAGAAAGAACCATATATGATGTTCCAGCTTGTGTTCTCTAATAACAATTTGTCCACCGCGGAGACATCAACTCTCTAGGCACATCTGCCACAGGGAATTCCGTTAAGCATTTAGAGAGTTCATTTCCGAGCATGAAAAAGGATGGAACATTTCTATCAGCTTAAGAAGAAGAAAAAAACATTAAGATGGTAGAAATATGGTCCCTGAAGATATCTTCCAATACCATGACCACTTTTTGCTATTGTGTTCAATGTTTCCTCAACCCTTGTAAAACTGGCAGCTGATGGTAAAGGCAAAAAAGCAATGTTCTTTGAGAATGTGTTGCTGCTTGTTGTGTTCCTTCAAGGCATTTTTGACTTATGGTAAACCAAAAGCTGCTGAAAAAATACACTGCTTGGCTTTAATATGCTGTCTAACATTTTTTGTACCAAAAGGTATTACAGTATGGTTCCACTTTTCTTGTATGGCACTTTAAATTCTATGATTTCCCAAAGCAAGCTAAGATTGCACTTGATGTGTGAAGCATTCTGAGATGCTCATGTTTAAATAATAACTGCAGCATTTGGCAAACAGACTGTGAAATGAAATAATAGCTACCTCTCTAAGGCAATTTAAGTTTTATTAATCACAGACATGATAACGCAAGAATAGTTATAGATGTGATTACTTTAAAGGACAGAAAATCTGTCCCTGTCGCCATTAATTCTCAATTGTGAAAAAGCATTTAGCAAAATTAAGCAGCCTTAAAGAAATTTAATTTCTCATCAGAATTTCTGAAATGGATTCAGATTTTCTTTAACCCACCTCCTAGAAAGTGAGTGATTACAACTGGAGGTCAGCTGTTACCAACAATGCTGTAGAATCTGAAGAGGCACTAATGGAGTGCGAAAGGGAGAAATGTGTCAAAAGAGAGGCATACCAATCCAACCCCTGTGTACATTGATTTCCATCTGGAAATCAATGTACACAATGTACACTCACTGCAAAATAACATGTGAATCAAGAATAGGTCTCTGCAGTCACCTATGGGCTCACCGCTAAGACCCTACACTTGGAAGGCAATCATAGTCAGCCATGAGTGATAGCCGATGATGATTACAAATGGAATACATTTTGCTTTTCATCATCTAAAAAAGAGATTTGACTTGTATTATTCATGCTGCCTATATAAAGTAAATAAATATAAAGAAAATAAATATGCCCCATATTCTAAACCAAAGGTTCTGCACTGATAATGACTGTTAGTCAAGGTAGACCCATAATAAGAAATATAGATGCTAGATAGGCCCATTTATAACATTTTCCAAAGCCTTATGTCAATTTTGTATTGAAATGTCAGGTGAGTTTATAGTTGTCTGAATGCAGCTAGTCTGTTGGGATGTCATAATCTAAAATGTGTATAGCAGGGTAATGTATTGGAGACAAAGATCCCTTCTCTGAAGCCATTTGCATTTGAGAAAAAGCTTCTGCAGGCAAAAATACAAAATTCCCCTCCCAATGAACCAGTCTTTTGTTCACATGGCTGGCTGACAAAATTGAGTTTTTTCCATCACATTTAATTTGGCACATGGATGTAACCCTAGAGTTATGAAAACATTGAAAAGCTTTTAACATTGCCAGGCCTTTAACCTAGTTTATAAAAGATATGATGGATTGTAGAAAGAGTTATCTGTAGTGCAGTGTCAATCTTAACTGTAGGTACAAGGTTCACCCCAAGGTTCATTCAAGAGACACAGGGCTGAGAGTGATCCGTACTAAATTTAACAGAACATACTTCATATAGTCAAACTACTACTATTATATTATTCACTGTTAGGCTGTAGACCTGCTCCTCAATATCTATGCCAAACTGTTGGAGAGGAACTTGGGAAGTTAGCTAGATATATGCCTATTTCTGAGACAAGTGGTGTAGTACTTTGGGTATTAAACTTTGACACATTTTTATTGCAGGCCTATGGAACTAGTTTCTCAATAAGCATATTATTATTGTTGTGTGGCTTCAAATTGTTTATATCTTATGGGACTCTAGGGTAAATCAATTATAGGGTTTTCCAAGATAAGAAGGTTACCCATTGGGTTTCATGGCTGAACAAGGAGTTTAACCTCTGTACATATCAGAACCCCCTAGCCCATTTCTGTTTTAAAAGCCTGCTTGAATAAAAAGGTTTCAGTCTGTCATTAGAAGTACTACAAGGAAAAGGCCATTCTTGCCTCTCCAAAAAGAGAAAGGATTCCAGAAGCAGCTCTTGAGAAGGCCTCATTTTGAATCTCCACCAGCCATGCTTGCAATGGTTGTGAGACTGAGAAAGGCCTCTCCTGAATATGTCAGAGCCTAGGCAATCTCATAATTTGAAAAGGCTTTCTCTGAGATGCTCAGGTTTCTTCACCTAAGGGAAAGTGAGGAAGAAGTCTGGGAAGGAGACTACCTGCCCCACCTGTTTCTGCACAAAGCCATCCCCTTTTCATATCTATCAGTTGTGTGTTGTCTTGTTATTCCACAAGTTGGTCAGCAAAGTGGACAGCTTCATTCCTGCTAGTGAAAAGGTGTGGGTTTTCTATTTCATATGCTCTGGTTCCTCTATATTCATACAATAAGGTGATATTTATGCATGTTGTGGGGAGGTTCTAGCAGGCATTTGGTGGGTGTTAAACTTGCCCCATGTTTTATTTTGAACCACAGTGGAATGATCCACCTGCATTGGAAGTATGATTCAGCACCTTGGATAGCTCCATTAAAGTTCGAACAAAACTCTGCAGACTTCCTGCTATGAAAGCTGCCAGTCATCACTAGAAACATGTAACACGGTGGTTCTCAACCTGTGGGTCCCCGGGTGTTTTGGCCTACAACTCCCAGAAATCCCAGCCACTTTACCAGCTGTTAGGATTTCTGGGAGTTGAAGGCCAAAACATCTGGGGACCCACAGGTTGAGAAACACTGATGTAACTCAAATGTCTTACTTTCTGTTAAATTCTCATCACTGATCAATGAGATCCAAGTGCTTCATTCCACACTCACCCATATATCTAGCTTATTGATACTAAGATTGGTTTTCCTCAGCAATAGATAAGTAAAATATAAGCAATACTACTCTGAAATAGCTTCTGTTGTGGAACAACTTTAATTCTAATATGTAATAAGCCAGGAAGAAAAAGAAGGAGGAGAAAGTGGAGGAGAAAGTGGATGGGAAGAAGGTAGCAGCAACATTACCACTAGTAGATATAGTAATGATAGTAGTATTCGCTGATTTTTACTGAATTCTAGTTCAGATTCCAAATCTGTTGCAAAATATCAAATGTTTACTCATATGCAGCCTTGGAAATTAACGTCACAGATCTCTGGTCTGAACTTGGGGTCTTTAACTTGACAAAGAGCCATTGGCCATCTTACATAAATTCAATTCACCTTTGGACAAAAAAAAGTGAGAAGAGAGAGGTTTGTATATGAGTAACGAAGAATGCTGTTTGCCTAACTGCTTTGAAGTATGTTAAGGGTAATGTCTATTTGTTCTAATTCTGGAAAAAATGACTTTGGAAAGATTTTGTGACAAGATGCCCCCTTAACAAACATAACAAGCAAATATTTTATCAATGTAATTATTAGCAGAACAATTTGTATCCCTCCCATGCATACAACGGACCATGGGTGGTTATTAACCCAACATGCAGCTGCTAAAGTATAAAAGCTCTGCCTTCTCCTTTGCTCTTCCTACCTGCACATTCAGGCCCCTAACAATTTGGAATCATGAAGTGGGTAACATTCATTTCTTGCCTTCTCTTAGTAAGCTTTGCTGAATCAAAACACCTTCCTAGAAAATACCGAGATGCAGGTAAGAACATTTTTAATAGATGGTTTCTATCCAAAATACCAGTCATGTCACTAATTTATTCCATTTATAATGTCTAATGAAAGTTATAGCCAAAATTGCAGCATTTTGTGGTCTGATATGATAGCTTCCTTGTGCCAAGCAGAACTCTGTGCTAACATGACACAGATATTTTATATCAGACATTACAAAAGAAGAAGTGACTCAAATATACATTTGAAAATGATTCTATAAAAACTAGATCTTAATTACTGTAGATATATTTAATATGCATAATGTTTTGATAAGTGAAAGAAGTAACAAAAATGTTATAATCTATCTTCATGTTCTAACAGAAATATTCCTGTTCAGGATTCCAGCCAGAGATGCCTACTTCCAGGATATCCCATTCTATTTCCATCCTAATTTATAGCTACTGATAGCTACACTATATCTTCAGTCCCCATTGGCTTCTTGGATAAGGAAGGGGGAATCCTCCTTTCAAAGAATTTGTTGTTCCTCAAAATCTTTGAGTATCTAGAACTTGTTAATATCAACTCTAATATTTCTCAGTGACCCTAATTTTCTCAACCTTCTTGTTGCTCATTATTTTTAGAGAAAGTAATAGTGTTTTTGCAAAGCTCCAACACTTCCTCATGAGCACTGGAGCTAGTGGTTTTTATGTATGCACCAAACTGCATTCTGTATGAGAATGAATCACACCAGCTTTGGTGTACATTTTCATTGAGCTACACAAGGTGCTGCAACTTATTTGGGAGGAGTTTTGCACCATGGATAGCTCTTTTGAAAGGCAGAATGACACACATGCACCACTCCATTGTGCATGTAAGTGTTCAAATATGTCCTGCCTGAAAGGAAGAACTTGCTCCATGCAGTGGAGGGAACCAAACCACACTGTCTTCTGTGTTGAAGACAAGAGATAATTCCATCCACATGAGCTCTCATGATCCTATTCTATTTCCTTTAATGAAAAATGCATCCTGTACAAGATGATATTCTACATTTCAATCTAAGTTACATTTCACCATGTTACCTTTGAGATTTTTTTTTTGCCAGTGATTCAAGCTGACACTAAATGACTGAAAAGGCTGAATTGGTTGAAGAATCTGCTCTTGGAGAGGAGCACAGATTTATTATTCTCATTGCAGATAACCCAGAGATGAATTAATTTGTACTTAATACATTGTACACCAACTCACTGAACAATATGTGCAGTTGAATGCTTACTTCTTTTAACATTTTTTTATTCCTTCTTATTTATTCCATCAGTTGCAAACCAAATTACCAAATTTTAAGTCTGAATACTTGTGTATGTGTGTGCATTTTTTTAAACTATAGGATCCCATTTCAGTGTTGGGTCCATTTAATTACATCAATTCTACAGTGCAGAGTCCTCAATGAACTCTTTTACCTCCTACTGTTAAATCACTAGGCCTTCATTCCTTGACCTGCTTAACCAAGAGCAAGTAATGACACACCCAAGAGTTTTTTCTTTTAACCACCTTGTAAGAAAGTTTTTTTAGATATGCAAATAATTTCAGAACTACTGTTTTAAATATAACCAACTATTGTTTACTTTACAGATGTTCATGACACAATCAGCCGGGCCTCTGAACTACCGCCTGATGATTTTGCAGCAATGTAAGCATTTCAATAGTGTCTTGCTTCTTTGTTTGATTATCCAAGTCTTTAGCATTACTCTCCCATTGGTATGACAGTTAAAACAATATTTATTGGGTGAAGCTATGGGGGGGGGGGGAGGTGTAGAGGCCAAAATGACAATATTGCAGACTATTACCACACAAAATCAAATGATTTTTTTGGTTTCTGTCTTCTTTCATACCTTTTTCTAGTGCCATGATCTTATACTCTCAAGTGGCACAACACGCCACATATGAAGAGGTGCATAAACTGATGGATGACATTGTTGCACTTGCAAAGAAATGTGGTGCTGATGAACACTCAGATCCTGAATGTGTAAAAACTTTGGTAAGCTTTTTGAGCAAAATCTGGAGACTATATTTTTAAATATTCTAAGTGCAAAATGTAATACTTATCTGGCTAGCCATGGGTTTATCTAATATTTAATCTACTAACATGCATTGTGGTCAAAGCAGATTCTAACAAATTGTAGATAGAATGCAAATCATGACAATATAAGCCAGTTTATGCTGTCATGTGATATTAAAGTAAAGCATATACATAACATAAACAGTGTTTATCTCCCTGGATCCAATGAAGGCCTATCTAGCATATAGAGATGGAGTACAATGCTAGTGAAATATGGATTTTGTAGAGTACTGGTAGATCATTGGCATGGTTTCCAAAATGTTAGCAGAATGCACCAGACTATTATTCTTTAATCCAATTTAGAATTTAAGAACTGGGAACAGGGAAAGAGTGGGGTGGGATTGCAGTAACTTTAAGTCTAAAAGGATCACACAACAAGATGGGGCATCATAAAGTTCCATCAAACCAGATAAAGGCGCATGTCTTGTGTTATTTTTCAAACACCAACTTCTGCTGCCATCATACCATTCCAATAGGACTACTGACTTCCTGATGAAAAGTGGGAGAGGTGCTAGAGGTCAAAACAGAGTTCAGTGGTTCTCCATGCTCACACTAGTTTCCCCTGCAAGAGCAACAGCCATTGAGCTAGAAGTTGGTATTTGGAAGGTGAGATAGGACAGGTATCTTCATTCTACCTGATGGAGCTTTTCAGTAACCCAAATAGATCCTCATCCAGAATCTATGTGGGTTAGTTACAAGACCTCTTTCCCATAACCCATCAATCAACTCTAGATTTAATCAATATAGCCACTGTTGAGAACCTAAAGGTTCTTTATAAGAACTCTTGGTTTTTAGACCTATTCCTGGGGCTATTAGGGGTGTTTATTCAGAAAATTGCATTGGATAGACTGCATCAGCTCAAGTTTTATATATGGTTATTATGATTTTCTATGGGTGAGTAGATGAAAACTGGTATGAGGCATATGTTCTGTATCTCAAAAACTAGTGCTGATGGAAGGAACTGGTGCCATTTTTGGAATTAGCAGGTCAAATATACCCAGAAACAGGCCTAACATTTGAGGTACCAAAATGTGTGTTTGCCAGTGTAATTTATGAGAACCTGGGAGATATTCAATATGATATACTAGTTTGCCTACTGTGAATAAACCACTAGTTTCATTTCTCACAAATTCAAGCAGTGATTTGTGTCTGTCCACCAGCATGTTGTTTTCGAAGATGAAATATGTCATGAACAAGGTTTTGCTGACAAACATGGATTTAGCGATTGCTGCACTAAAGCTGATGCAGAAAGAACTGAATGTTTCTTGGCTCACAAAAATGCAACTCCAGGATTTATTCCACCTTATCAAAAACCAAATGCTGATGAAGCCTGTGCAAAATTTGCAGAGAACAAGAATGAAGTTTTGGGCCAGTAAGTAAATCCATCAATTGTTGCTGATTTGAAAGACTGATTCTCCCTTTTGTGTGTAGCGATGGAAAGCCCATGCCTTTCTTTGGTAGGTCCTTCATCAGATAACTGCAAATTCTGGCTGCCATTTTTGTGTTAGCTGTCAAATAAGTAGTGGGACTTGCAACAAATCTTTTTTTAAAGAGTTTCACCCACTTATTCTGCAGTAGATTAACATTCCTCCATTTTTGCACAATCTATTCCAACTCTACCTTTTATTTTGTCTTAATTTAATTTAATTTAATTGTTGAATGGCGCACAATATTGTGTAGCTTCTTCTGTATATGTTCTCTTTATTTTATGGGCTTGGGAAGAAGTTCTTAAATTTATCTTTCTTCTGTTTTAATATTTTGGTTGTGGTTTTTGGCCCCAAAAGCCTTGGAACGCAAGCCTTAAAATTCTCTTATTAGGATGTTCTTTTCTTTGTTTCTTTATGTATGTTCCCAAACTTGTGGTGGCCTGAATCCTAATGTGAATGCCAAATAATAATATAATATTTATAATATTATTTATTATTTCATTATAATATTTATAATATTATATTGTAATACAATATACTACTAATAATAATAATAATACAATAGTATAACTATATATTTTATATTACATGTAATATTACTAATAATAACAATATAATGGTATAGTACAATATAGTATTATATAATACTAATATTGTAGTATGCTAATGAAATAATATGTTGTGTGTGTGTGTGTATGTGTATGTGTGTGTGTGTGTGTATGTATATATATATATATATATATATATATATATATATATAGCCGCTCTGAGTCCCCTTCAGGGTGAGAAGGGTGGCATATAAATGTCAAAATTAATTAATTAATTAAATAAATAAATAAAGTAGTTAGATCCTATTACTATTAAGGTTTATAGCACTGGTGTCTTTAACTGTAAGAAAGATTAACCCGAATTAATTTGAGGTGCCTTTCCTTCCCCCACAGCTACATCTATGAGGTGAGCAGAAGGAATCCCTTCGCAAATGTTGCCATAATCTATAAAGCAACTGCTGCTTATGAGCATGTCCTGACTTCTTGCTGCGCAAAAGAGGACAAACCTGCCTGCTTCCAAGTAGAGGTATGTTGCTATACTCTAAATCAAGCCTTAAAATTCTCTTGTTAGGATGTTGGACAGCATCTTCTTTTCTTTTCTTCTTTATACATGTTCATGGCTGCACCCAAGTGAATGAGTGGCTATTGCCCATGGCAAGCTTGACCTAAGGAATTCATAGCAGAACACAGTTTGTATAACATTAGACAATGAGATATTAATTGCTACACATTTTATACCGCATAAATGGATGGCAGGAGTAATAGTCAATGTCCATCCTGTAGGTATGAACAGAGGTACCAGAACCCCTTTTTTCCAATTCCATATCTACCCATTATCATAACACTATGTAACAAGATTTTTGTTCCTGGGTTATAAATGTCATTTCCTAATTGGTTCTATCATAAAACCATGGAAACAGTTCCATGTTTTTTCATGTGAAAACTTTGTTTTGGCAGGACATCCTGCAGCACATTTTGCTATAGTTTTTCAGTGAATATCCCAAAGAGTTTCAATCAATTCAACATAGTTTGTGACAGCCACAAAAACAAAGTTTCTAACAATTACTTTCAAAATATGTGTGGCACAATTAAATAAGATATAACACAATTTGCAGATAAATTTTAAAATAGGGGCTGAAACCTTCAACTTCAGAAGTCTCTTCACAGTGCTCCTTTTCTCTGCCACTGGCATTAGTTATTCTCACAGATGAAATACAATAGTCAATATCCTACATGGTAAGCTAGAATAGATAGTTCCATACTGTCGGGATTTTACTCTGGATATGCCTACAATAGAGCCCCTGGTAGCGCAGTGCGTTAAACCGCCGAGCTACTGAACTTGCTGACCAAAAGATCAGTGGTTCAAATCCAGGGAGCGGGGGTGAGCTCCCACTGTTAGCCCCAGCTTCTGCCAATCTGGCAGTTCGAAAACATGTAAATGTGAGTAGATCAATAAGTACTGCTTTGGCAGGAAGGTAACAGCGCTCCATGCAGTCATGCCAGCCACATGACCGTGGAGGAGTCTATAGACAACACCGGCTCTTTGGCTTAGAAATGGAGACGAACCCCATCCCCCAGACTCAGACACGACCAGACTTAATGTCAGGGGAAAACCTTTACATTTATGTCTACAATGTAGAATTGATGAAGTTTGACACCACTGCTATGGCTTAATGCTATGAAATTATGAGAGTTATAGATTTGCACAGTTGCTAGCATTCTCTGTCAAATAGTGACAGTGCCTCACCAAATCACAACTCCCATGACTCTGTAGCATTGGCAGTTAAGGTGGTGCCAAACTGCATTAATTTTACAGTGCAGATGTGCCTCTGTCACATCTCCAGTGGAATTCAGCTATTTCCCAGGGGGATTCTCTTGAAATTCTCTTGTTAGGGATATTTGGGGAGGGGCAGAGAAGCATCTAGCTATGTCCCTATAGCAGTGGACATACAATGACGAAGGAATCTTTTCCTTTGTACACAGAACATGGCTAAGTATACAGAATGCTGCATGGCTGAATAATATATCTGAACAATCTAACAAAAGGCAGCCATTGCCACTTTTGGTTTACTTTCTGGCTTAATCTTATTTTCTGGCTTTATGACATTTAACATTTAAAAGTGCCTTAACTTTGTAGAGATTTACAGAAATACTTGGAGATTACATCTCAGGAAACCTTTGTTTTGCTTTGTTCTTCAGTACAATTTGCTGTTTGTAGTGAATTGTTTATCCAAGGAGATTTACCTGCCATGTATCACATCAGTTTTCATTTTACCATAGGCTCCACCTGTGAAAAAGCAATTGATGGAAGACCTTGGTATACAAAGACACACTTGTGCTGTCATGAAGAAATTTGGATCAAGAGTATTGAAAGCATTGTAAGTCTAGTTCTTTTTTTTCTTTTTTGAAAAGTTAATACAAATGTGAGTAGATCACTAGGTAGGTAGGTAACAGCGCTCTATGAAGTCATGCTGGCCATATGACCTAGGAGGCATCTATGGACAACGCTGGCTCTTCCACTTAGAATTGAGATGAGCACCACCCCCTAGAGTTGAACACAACTAGACTTAATGTCAAACGGAAATCTTTACCTTAATCTAGGTCAGTGGTTCTCAACCTGTGGGTCCCCAGGTTTTTTGGCCTACAACTCCCAGAAATCCCAGCCAGTTTACCAGCTGTTAGGATTTCTGGGAGTTGAAGGCCAAAACATCTGGGGACCCACAGGTTGAGAACCACTGCTCTAAAGCAGTGATGAGGGAACATCTGGGTACCGACAGGTTGAGAACCACTGATCTAGATGAGCAAGATTGATATGTTTCTCAGAGTTAAGATGGTGCTATAGAGGGCTACAACCAATGTAGAAAGAAAAATGAGCTCTCTGCTCCATTTTTTGGATTCCAATAAGCACATCTGGACCATTTTACTCTGAGAAACATAGGCTCATCTAGATAACTTTTTTAAACAAAATCATTTTTGTGGACTTCTTCTGGTGTGAAAGGAAGCAGGCCTTTTTGGGAGGGGGGAGGAATCAAAGGAGAAAATAAACTCTTATATCACTCTTATAATAACATCTCATAGGAATGTTTTCCCTTATTAGGGAAAACTGTTTGCCAACCTTTGTGGCCACATTTCCTTTTACAATCCTGCGCGATCTATCTCTGGGGAGGCCCTCCTCTCGCTCTCACCTCCATCACAAGTGTGACTTCTGGGGATGAGGGAGAGAGCCCTCTCTGTTGTGACCCCCCAGCTTTGGAACTCTCCACCTAGTGAGATTAGGCAAGGCCCCACCCTGGCAGCCTTTAAGAAAAACCTAAAAACCTGGCTCTTCCGGCGTGCCTTTGATGAGTGAACGCATATCCCCATATCATGACCATCCCAACTATAGTTCTGTCCTCATGACACATTTTCCCTTGTCTTTAATGAAGGCTCAATTGCATTGTTCACCCCTTCTGAGCTCCCCCCAGACATATACTTCTCCATTTACTTATCTCACCCAGGGTTTTATCCATCTTATTCTGTGCATTTGGCCCACCCACTGTGCTTTTATTTTATTTCTTCAACACATTATTTTGCATCTGTTTATTTCATTTTCTGTCTTTTTATGTATTTTATTTTGATGTTTTTATTTGCTGTTTACATTTTATTCTATTTTGTTGTTCTGTAATTCTGGGCTTGGCCTCATGTTAGCCACCCTGAGTCCCCTTTGGGGAGATGGTGGTGGGGTATAAATAAAGATGATGATGATGATTATTATTATTATTATTAAAAAGGGGCTTATACACCAAGAAATTGTGTACAAAAGATATATCCTGGGATATGTAAATGTCATGATTTCTGTGTATTTTTAAGTCAGACATATGGAATTTGGGTATAACAGAGTTATGGTTTGCAGATATTCAGTCAAAACTGTATTGCACTATTTCTACATCTCTCAAAAATCATTTTGCCATAGACCTCAAATTACCTAATTATGGATAAACTTCTAGGGATAGAAATAATATTTACCATTATTCAGGCCAAGAAATGGATTTCCCAGTACCCATTCGATTCTGGATTATTATTATTATTATTATTATTATTATTATTATTTTAAAACATGAATGTTTCAGCTTTCCCACAGTATCCGCACACCCTGAAGTGTTTTGGAAAACTAGTCTATGCAATAAGACATGGAGGGTTTATTTTTATGTCTTGCCAAAAAATTGTGGAGGGTTTGCAGGTATGGAATTATTGTTCCACCACACTTCAGGATGGACAAAAACCAGACAAAAAGTGCTGAGAATTGTTTCCCACATACCAGAAACAAAATTGTGGATATTATTTATCCTTGCATGCAATGACAAAAATATCAAAAATTTACACCCCTGTTCTGACCTTTTTGGTACTCCCATCTTCCTGTTTAGAAATATAGTCAATACATTCTAAATATGATACTTAATTTGTTTTAAAACAATCCTAATATTTCAGTAAAACTGCTATCATGGCTCAGAAGTTCCCAAAGGCTTCATTTGAGACAATCAGCAAGATGGCTGAAGATATTGCACACATCCATGAAGAGTGTTGCAAAGGAGATACACTGGAAAGCATGCTTGATCGGGTAAGAGTTATTCATTTTGCTCTCATTACACAACATCCTCAGCAAGCTAAAGATCAGGTCAGGTCTCCCTTCCCCTCCCTCACTTTTGAGATCTATTGAGTATTAGTTGCATTTCCCGGAGTAGTTTCCACTCAGTTTCCAAATCTTTGAAAGCAGATTTATTATATTAAACACACATACGCACCTTAATATTCTTTTCAGAAAATTGTTCATACTCATTTATAAATCTAGAAATGATAATCCAAAAATTATCCCCAAAATCCTGGGTTGACTTATTCAAAGGTCAATGTAAATAGAGTAGTTTAGCTCTTAATTTAAAAAGGGCATCTCAGAGTAGAATGGCAAAAGATGGTAATTTAGTTTGTCCCAGGAGAACCTAAAAGAAGCACCTAACTTCTCTATTCTCCCTGTCATCATTTCACTTCAGAACTTTAGGATAGGAAATGGTGGTGGTGATGTTGACTGGCCCCCCAGAGATAACATTGGTGCTTTCCCCTCTCTGTTGAAACACCCTAGACTTATCTCCTTCTCTGGAAGTTTTTAAAAAGAGGATTAATGGCCATCTGTTAGGAGCACCTTGATTAGGCATTAATGCATAATCAGAGATAGTTTGGATGACCCTTGTACTCTTTCAACCAATGATTTTATGACTGACTTAAACATGAGTATAAATGGCAATGTCATAAGAAAATCAGGTATTGGTGAAAACTTTGCTCAAGGTCCACTTTGTACATAGAATCAACACAGGTTGGGAAAGAGGTTTGAAGATTTTTGTGGCAGACTTTACTTCCTGCGATTGAATACTTCAACACAAATGCCTACACAAATGCAATCAACACATGTATGTTCTTGGGATTTTCAACACACATACAAAGGGAACACCATCCTATCTCAACAACGTGCATATTTCTAAGGAATGGGTCAGGTGTTTAAAATGGATTTGATTAAATGGTATAGACCAGGGGTCCTCAAACTAAGGCCCAAGGATCGGATACGGTCCTTCAAAGTCATTTATCTGGCCCTCGCTAAAGGTCAACCTAAGTCTGAAATAACTTGAAAGCACACAACAACAACAACAACAACAACAACAACAACAACAACAACAACCCTATCTCATCAGCCAAAAGCAGGCCCACACTTCCCATTGAAATACTAATATAATTGAAATATTAGTATTTCAATTTCCCATTGAAATACTAAATGAAATACTTTATATTTGTTGAAATTATTCTTCGTTTTAATTATTATATTAAGTGTTTTTTGCACTACAAATAAGATATGTATAGTGTGCATAGGAATTCATTCATGTTCTTTTCAAATTATAATCTGACCCTCCAACAATTTGGAGGACTGTGACCTGGCCCTCTGTTTAAAAAGTTTGAGGATGCCTGGTATAGACCTTTTAAAATGCTTGATACAAGGGGCATCTGTCCAGTGTTACTTTTCAATTTTTGGTTCCTAAAATGCCAATTTTGCTATATTGTTGCTTTCTGGGACTGTTTTTATAAAAAAAGAAGGAAAATATTATGTGGGTAACTTTATATTGGAAAAAAAGTCCTGGCCCTAAAGTATCTCCAGAAAATGAAAACATGGCAAACTTTGCCAGGAAGCAATGGGGACTTTTGTAAATAGAAATGGAAGACCATTAGAGGGAATGCATCCTAACCTCACTAAATGGACTCATGCAAAAACTTCAGAAAAGGATAGGAAAGGCTGCTAATATTGTGCAATGCTGAAAATTTTCTCAAGGGGAAACATAAACCAGACATAGAGAGATAGTATAGCTGGATGCTTATCTTTCTAAGGCATCTCTTTTAAACTGGTTTATTTGACTGGAAACCTGTGTATCTGCTAGAATCAAGAGATTCTGGGTTATATCCTAGACACTTTATACTGCTATAAACCCCTAGTTTATAGCAGGTTTCTTCCGGAGTGTTTGGGCCTTGTTCTGTATCTGGTAGTTAGAAATAGATCACAATGCCTTTCAATGATGCATTGTAAACAGCAATTGTCATCAAAAGGAAAACTTTTCACTCCAAGTAAGATCCACTTGTTGAAAGGACAAACTTCCAAGAAACCCTGGACTTCTCCAGTCTACAGTGTGAAAGTGATTTCCATCAAATAACAAGTTGTTTATGAACCTCTTTTCTTCTAGGAAAAACTGACAAAATATGTCTGCTCTCACCAAAATGAGATCTCTTCAAAACTGTCAGCTTGCTGTGAAAAACCTGTGGTGGAACGAGGAGAATGCATGGTCCATTTGGAGCATGACGACAAGCCTGCAGATCTGTCTGAAACAGTCAGAGAGTTTGTGGATAACAAAGAAGTGTGCCAACGTTATACTGACAATAAAGACCTGCTTCTGGCAAAGTATGGCATAGAAAATTCAGATTAATCCCTATTTTCCCTAGTGATAGGGCTTTACAGTAGAAAGGATTCATGAAATGGATCAGGTTGGATGAAATGTTGGGGCAGACCCTGCATGTTGTAAGGTCAATTTGGAGATAGTCACTCACAATGAAAGGCCTGACTTGAGAACTTTAACCAATATAGAAATGGAACAGTATGCAGGGAGAATAAAAGTAAAACAAAAATCAAGCAAGCTCAGGAGAACTGTGAACTGAGGACCAAATAAGATGTCAAAGAGAAGGAGGAAGTTATGTTGATAAAGACATAGGATAGCTACTCTAAATAAGTTGATGTGCAACTGATTTGCTTTCTAGAACCCAGCTCCTACTCTTGTACGTTTGTTTTTGTTTTGTCATACATTGTCAGCTTAGATGTTGTTGTTGATTCTTCTGTTGCACCTACTACTGCTACTAGTACTACTGCTGCTACTATTACTACTTTGTGGGACATAACCTTATAAATGTGTCCAAGGCTAAAGAGCACAAATCAAAATCATTTCAAAACAAATAAGTAAAATTGCCTTACTATTTGTATCAAAATTGAATGGCAGGATATTAATCCAAAGTGAAACAGAATCTAGCAAACAGAAAATGTCACACTAGCCCTGTGTGGCCTCATGTAAGCCGCACCGAGTCCCCATCACCCAAATTTTTCAGGTTAAAAAAAACCTGGTTTACTCATGAATTTTAACTGGTTAACCAAATCCCCATGCTAAGTCTATGAGACGCAAAAAATTAAGAGTCCCTCCAGAACTGCAAGCACTATCTCAAGCAAATATTGACAATTTATTCACACTGTCATTACTTGCAGCAATAGCCGATGTAGCGAAGCAACCAAGTTGGGGGGGGGGGTGTTGAATGCTCTCATTAAGGAGGCCAGACTTGGTGGAGGTGGTTGACAGGGCGGAGCTGCAGGCTATTGAAGGCTGCTCTGCCCCCTGCTGTGCTCTTTGCTTCAGTGTAAGCTAGGAGGCAGGAAATTTTCAAACCCCCCCAAATTTTCAACACCCCCCCCCCAAATTTTCAACCCTCCCCCAATTTTTTTCTGGTTATGGCCCTGATTGCAGATCTAATATGGGGAGTTATATACTTAATCTGTTCTCAGTATTCATAACATTTATTGAACCCCATCTCTCTTCCAGCCAACAGTCAGTTAAATTGGTTGTCTAAAATATGTGTGTGTTTGTTGTTATTCGTATTTGCCATCAAGTCAAATTTGGCTTACAGAGATACTATGACTGAAAGACCTCTGTGAGCCCAAGTTTTTAGCAGTCCTGCTCAGATCTTGAAAATTCAGTGTCATGACTTCCTTAATTGAGCAAATCTACCTGCATCATGGTCTTTTCATTTTCCTACTGCCTTCCATTTTACTGAGCATCATCATGTTTTCTAATGATATTTTGGATTTTACTGACAGTACAGACTTGGTTCCTTCAATGAACTACTGGCCTTTTTAGCAGTCCATAGTATCCTCAGAACTCTCTCTCAGCACTACATTTCATACAAGTTTTAGACATGTCAAAATGTGTTCATTTAAATGGGTAAGTTGTGATAAGATTGAACTCATAAAATCTTTTATTTGTTACAGATTTCTGTATGAGTATTCAAGGAGACATCCAGAGCACTCTCCACAACTGCTTGTCAGATCTACCAAAGGCTACGAGGAGCTGCTGGAGGAATGCTGTAAAACTGAACATCCTGAAACATGTCTGCCAAAAGGGGTAAGTTTTGATTGAGCATCTTGCCCTCCATTTCCATCTTATCATGACCCCAAGATGAACCCAGTAGAGGGTTTTCTGAGGCTAAGAGTGTGTACTTGCCCAAGGTCACCCAGTGAATTTACATGGTTGAATGGGATTTGAAGCCTGTTCTCCAGAGTTGTAGTTCAAAGCTCAATGCACAATGGCTCCATTGAAAGATTCATATTACTTCATGTTAGATATTGTGACCTTTCTCAGCCCTACCTGGTTACTTTGACTTGCCAGAAATAGCACTACATTCCTACTTTTCTACTTTCCCAAAGAGTCTCTACTCTCTGCAGTCCATCTATTTATTTATTTTCTCTTAGTACATATGGTAACCTTAACTGAATGAAGGAACTGTTGCAGGCAAAGGACATCCTCTACCAAAAATGAACAAACAAATATAACCATACAATTTCTCACTGGAAGGTGAAGAATTTTGGTGGGTTTTTTAAAAAAAAGTTTTAAAATTCCATGAAAAACATTATTGCGGAAAAAGAACATGTTTCATGGGAAATGTTGCTTTTTCAACAATCATGATGCCTTTTGCATAAAACCTTCTATTTTACACTGGCATAACTTACAGAAACTGCAAAAGCAAAAAAAAAGTCAGATTTATCCTCACTAAAGACAATAAAAATGTGTTGCAAGAGTTGCCAATTAATTTGTGAATATTCTTCACAGCCTTAATAATAAGTGAGGTTTGAAAATCAAATCAGGCTCCTTCCTAATATCATCTACTGTATCTCTGCTCATTTTTTTCATTGCAAATCTTTGAAAGCAATTACATTTTCTTTTAGGAGGCACTACTGAAAAAACATATTACTGATACCCTGGAACTGGTGAAGACACGCTGTGACCATTATGCTCAACTGGGACCCTACCTCTACCACAATGAGTATGCTATTCTCATATGACTGGAGCTTGCAAACAGAGGCAGGGTTCTGAGTGGTATTTAGCAATTTTGGCTAAAGATGTAAATACTTCTGCTAGTCTTTATTTGTAATCAGAAGCAAAGGAATTCATGATTGCTGAAAAGTTTAAGCAAACAGATTTCTGATTTTTCAAAATGTTCTCCTTGCTTCTTTTCAGCTGTTGTGAAATGTCTTTTGGCAAAATAAATCTCTCCCAGTTACTTATCCATGAAAATATTTACAAGCTTTGCTGCAAATGGGATCCCAGTTTTAATACTGTTTCCTTGCATTTTGAAAATACAAAATTTAGTAGTTGGTTTTTTAAAATGTCTTGATTACATTAGTTTTTCCTCTCTGACTAGTATCTACTGGGTTATCTTTGTTGCAGACTTCTTGTTGCCTACACCAAGAAAGCACCAGAGCTCTCCTTCCATGAGCTTCAGAAGTACACAGGCCAATTCAGAGATGTTGCTGCCAAATGCTGCAAGATGGATGATGCCCACAGAATGACATGTGCTGAAGGATATGTGAGTATTGTTTCCTCAGTATTCGCTTTCCCACTTTTCTTCTTTAGTCCAGTATCGAACTCAACAAACTGTGAAATACCTGCACCCATATCAATTTAATATTTAAACATAACAACAATTATTTTCAGTTTTGCTTGGAGACATCAATATCTTAAATACAGATGAACTCATCTCATACTACTAAGCAGATCCCCCAATAATATCCCTTCTGAGAACATTTACAATAACCTTATTTAGATATGACCAAAACATAACCAGAGGTTTACCTGGATATAGGTAAAGCTTAACTGACAGTCTCTAGATCTGACTTCTGTAATCAGCATGACAGCTGACTGTCATGCTGATTACACACAGTTGTAGCCTCAATTGCAAGTTGATTAGCAAAGCTAGGTCCAGCAGCACCTTCAATTGTGCATGGGGTCTTTCAGACAAAGGAACTGCAACTCAATCAAGGTTAAATAATGTTCAGCCCTAGACTGTCACTCATCAGAGAATATTCAGCTTGTGTCTTAATGAAGCTATTGTGTTTAGTGTTGGACTGGTGTACAGTTCTATAAACCTTATTCGAACAGGAGTTGATTGTCAACTCTCATTAAATGACTTTCTTTGTAATATGAAATGCACTTTTATAACACTGAACTAAACAGTACGTATTACTCTCAGATGTTTAGCATCTCATAACTTGAAGCTGGTAAACTTGTAAATACTCATAACTGGAGCCCCCGGTGGTGCAATGGGTTAAACCTTTGTGCCGGCAGAACTAAAGACGGACAGGGAAAGTGCAGATGAGCTCCCTCTGTCAGCTCCAGCTCCCCATCTGGGGGCATGAGAGAAGCCCCCCACAAGGATGGTAAAACATCAAAATATCCGGGCGTCCACTGGGCAATGTCCTTGCAGACGTCCAGTTATCTCACACCAGAAGTGACTTGCAGTTTCTCAAAAAATAAAATAAAATAAAATAACTAATGTGAAATGTTACATAAACTGTAAGGTATGCACCTCTATTTATTTTTCAGTTAAAATTATGTTCTTCTTTTTCTCTCTTTCCCTCTCCTTCAAGGCGGATCTAGCAATAGGAGCCATCTGCGAGAGACATGAAGAACATCACATCAACAAACAAATTTGCAAATGCTGTGGTGACTCCTACTTGAAACGCCGTGAGTGCTTCAGTAACTTAGGAGCTGATGAAGAATTTCATCCTATTGCATTTGATCCTGCATTGTTCACCTTCCATGGAGACTATTGTGCTGCTAAAGAAGAAGAACAGCGATCAATGAAACAAGAGTAAGAAAGCCAAAGTACTTGACTAGCTCTTTCTAATCAATCAGTACATGAACTGAAGTCAGTGTCCCTTCTATTCTTTCTAAACATCCTTAAATTTATTTTTTTAGCTTTTTCCTTCTCTAGCTGACCACTCAGCTTCCATCTACACTGCCATTTAAGGCAATTTGAAACTGCATTTTATGATCAATGTAAACTTAAATAATTTGATTTAACTACATTGAACTGCATTATTTGAGTCTACACTTACCATATAATTCCATTTCAAACTGCATTACATGACAGTGTAGATGGGGCCCTTGTCTCAGTCATTCAGAAAGCCCCTTTAAATGAATGACCTATTATTTCCATTCTCTTGCTGTCTTCTCAAATCTCTGCTTGTTTATTTCCTGGGGGCCTTCTTTTTCTATTTCTATTTTCCTTGGCAGAGCACATTTTCTTTCTATAGAAGCTAAAGCCCTGTTGATATAGGATAATAAAGACATATTTCAGCATATCACAATATCTGTGAAGATGTGCTATTGAAGTGACCCAGTTGAGGATTCACCTCTCCTCACTACTTTCTCTTGACCTTTCTACCACTTCAAAATTAAAAATATTTTGTTCAGTTATTTGTTCTTACCAATACAGATTGCCTTGACTTAAAAAGATTACATTGCATGTTCATTAACCCCCATCAGATGTCTTGCCTTTAACATGAGAGTGATGAGTCTAAAGAGAATTTTAAAAAAATAAGTCATTTTGATCATTTGTGTAAAAGGTTTCTGGTAGTAGAAAGATTGACTAACTAACTGAATATCTCTTCTTCTCATTACAGGCTGCTTGTCAATTTGATTAAATACAAGCTCGGCATCACAGAAGAGCAACTTGCAGTTGCTATTGTGGATTTCAATGGCGTGGTAACAAAATGTTGTGAAGCTGAAAACCATGATGGATGTTTCACTGAAGAGGTATGTGTGTGTGTGTGTGTGTCTGTAAAGGATATATACCTAGGACATTTTTTTTCATTTAAGATTTGGAGCCCCATAAAATACATCCACTATGTTCACTTGTTCTTAGGTCTCCATAGAATTGTAATTTTAGGACTCTGATCTCCTTTTCAGAGACAAAAGATCTCATCCTATTGGCCACCAGAATCACCACGGATCATGGCAAATCTGGTGCTGCACATTAGGGGGCATGGGGAACCCATCACCATGCCCCGCATCACCCAATTTACCTAAACCAAATCCCATGGGGGGAATGTCTGTCATCCAGCTTCCCCCCATTGTTGCTTGTGCAACAAGGAAGCCTCCTATGTGGCCACCATGGTGACATACGCCAGTTCTGCTGTAGTTTAGCCATGCCTCCTCCTCCCTGGACATGGCTGTATATTGTGGAGTGGGAGCCAACAGGCTCCAAGGCTAAACTACAACAGAACTGGCATATGCTGATGAAAACAGCCCTATCTGATGAGGTCAAACATGGTGGGTGTCTCATAGACATGTGAATGTGTCCATGTCAGTAGGAAACTATTCTCCAAGCAACTTATTTTTTGATAGATTATGGAAAGTGTTGCTTGTTTCAATAGGCACAAGTGTGCTTTGAAGATAGTGAGAAGATGATCTCATTAATTGGATGATTACAATTAAGAAGCAGAACTGAAATGTCATCTCCCAGAGTTTAAATGACTTCTACAGACAAGTTATCCTCTGTAGTCAACATTAATGTACACCAGTAGTTCTCAACCTTCCRTATGCCATGACCACTTAATATGGTTCCTCATGTTGTGGTGACCCCCCAACCATAAMATTATTTTTGTAGCTATTTGATAACTGTAATTTTACTACCKTTATGAATCATAATGTAAATATCTGATCTGCAGGATGTAATTTCATTCACTGGACCAAATTTGGYRCCAATATGCCCAAATTTGAATACTGGTGGGGTTGGGGGGTTGATTTTGTCATTTKRRAGTTGTAGTTGCTGGGATTTATAGTTCACCTACAATCAAAGAGCATTMWGAACTCCACCAATGATGGAATTGAACCAARCTTGGTACACAGGACTCCCATGACCAACAGAAAATACTGGGAGAGTTTGGTGGGCACTGACCTTGAGTTTTGGAGTTGTAGTTCACCTACATCCAAAGAACACTGTGGACTCAATCAATGAAGGATCTGGACCAAACTTGGCATGAATACTCCATATGCCCAAATGGGAACACTGGTGGAGTTTAGGGAAAAAAGGCCTTGACATTTGGGAGTTGCCATTGCTGGGATTTATAGTTCACCTATAATCAAAGAGCATTCTGAACCCCAACAATGATAGAATTGGGCCACACAGAACCCCCATGACTGACAGAAAACACTGTGTTTTCTGATGGTCTCTGCCGACCCCTCTGAAACCCCCTCGTGACCCCCAGGGGTCCTGACCCCCAGGTTGAGAAACACTGATGTAAACTCTTCTTATATGGAGACATACTGGAGGTCCCTAACAATAATTTGTGGAAGAAATTATATAGCCACATCACCACATATATTTGCCCCTCCTGCAACTTTATTTAGGGGGCAAAGTACTCCTACATATACACTGTGTATTTCATAAAGTCTGTAGAACTATCCTGTTCACATTATGAACTTGTGAAATAGATGGGGATACCACAAAATATCTCAAATATTGCATCTCTTCATCCCTCCCTCCTCTCTCCCTCTAGAGTCCTAAATTGATTGAACGGATTAAGGCTGCTCTTGGAGAGGCTTAAAACATCTGAGGTGAGCTAGTGTGGACATATGTGTCAAGACGTATGTCTCATTTATATTAAACTGATAATGCCAAAAGAAGGAGCGCATTATTGGAAAATACCTTGTTGAAAATTAATTCATTGCACTTAATGTGCTGTTTTCAATCAACAAATGAATCTCTGAATACAGAATTCATGGATGCAGAGGACTGACTGTAAATCAGTTTTCTTTGCCTCCATTCATGATTTGCCTATGAATAATTTCTTAGAACTTCATATATAACACAATTTCTCAGAAGGTTTTTGCAAGTTAATTTAAATGCACACTCCTATTTTTGTCCCATGTATAATGATTTTTTTTTCTTATTTTCTTTCAGCTCAGCAAAAGGAGAATGCTGGAGATAAATTCCTAATAAGCTAACGCGCCCTCGGTTGCTTGCTGTTTTATCACGTGCCAACTTTCTGATTGAAAGGAAACAAGGATTTGATTCCTATGTAACTTTCATGTCTTACGACAGTGTTACTATCAAGAATGAATAAAATCTTTAAACAAAACCTTCCCTGTTGTGGAGTATGTGCAGTAAGGGGTGATGTGTCTATTTGTGTGTGTGGAGGGAGGGCACGAGAGAGAGATGGCTAGGTGATGCAGGCAGGAAAATGTTCATTGACTTGGGAAAGCAGAAGTCAAGAAGTAACTGCTGACTGTTCCTCTTCATAAACTAATTTGCCCCACTTAACTCTTTATTTCACTTAACTCTTCCCAACAGGCATGTAGCGGGGGGGGGGGGCTTGAGGGGCTTCAGCCCCCCCTCCCCCCGAAATTCTCATGGTGGTTCGCGAAAAGGCCTTACTGGTGCATTATTTAAACTGTTATGTTTATTCATATCATGATGTGATCACCATACTCAATATATCCCATATGCATGGGGGTATTGGGGTAACGATACAAAAGGTTTGCTAGGGTAGACCCTCTTTCACTCAGACTCAGCCCCCCCCCCCCCCCCCCCCCCCGAATCGAAATCCTGGCTACGGGCCTGCTTCCCAATGACACCAGTGGTATAAAGGAGATCAGATATGAATATATGAAATGCCTTCTTTTAGACAATATGTTCTCTTCTTCCACTTCTTCTCCTGGGCAAAGCGAGGACAAAACCATTGTCTGCCAACCCCCGAAGTAAAGACTCACGAATAAAGACACAACAACCAAGTCAATGGGTTCAAATTGGGCAACTTTTATTTAACGTTACCTATTTAAGTGCTTAACCTAACTCAAAGGGGTGTCGGGAACTGGTATAACAAACCCAGGTAGAATCACTACCCAATCTTAAGACAACAATTTTCGGGCGAAGCACCTGGGTTTCCTGGTAATAACCCCGGACCACCAAGCAAGGGAAATGAGTGAGGAGTCTCTTCTAAAGATCTTGCAGCCTGACTCCTCTCATTTCACGGCCATTTGACTTCACTTCACCTTTTAACTAAACAGTAGGTGAGTGTTTAACTTAATGGCCTATCACCCCTTAAGGGGGTGCCTTAGGTGCACACCGACTAAAGGATTTCCCTAACTATTTTACGCCACGGATTGGGGGCAAATGTCTATTTCGCCCCCATCCCCCACCAATTCCCCTAACACCCCCTGGATACCTTGCTGTAAATCTGCTAAAAACTGTTGGTTGCCCAATTCGGAAAGGTGCACTCCGTCCACTCGATACAATCTCTCATTCTCTCGAGTGATGGCTACGTGCTCAATGTAATAGCCTCTCTGACGAATCATAAACATTTGCATGGCCCTGTTTACTCTCTTTCTGGCTCTCTCAAGCCTCCGCACGTCGCCTCCTCCCAACCACCTGCGACGTGGAATAATGGCCGACCATGCAATGTGCACACGGGGCCATGCCCGCCAAATCTTTTGGATATCTGCACGTGCTTGTAGGAAAAGTGCTTTCCCCATCAACAAGCCCAAGTCGTTACCACCGAGGTGGATAACTAAAACATCAGGAGGTTTTCCGCTCCTGGCACTAAACAACAAGGGGCACAAACCGTACCAACGCAGGCCTCTCACGCCTCTCCATTCGACCGTCGCGATGGAAGCGAGACCCAAATGCTGGCCATAGGCAGTCTTAAGGGCCTCTCTTTCCACCCAGAAGACAAAACTGTGTCCGCACACCAGGACCCTTCTCCTATGCGCCAGCCCTTTTACTCCATCAACCCGGTATAACCTTTTGTCGTCTCGGGTGATGCCTGGATGCTCTATGTAATGACCCCTTTGTCGGATCATGAACCTTCGCATGGCCATATTCACATGTTTCCTGGCTCTCTCTAGCCTCCGCACGTCACCTCCTCTCAACCACCTGCGACGTGGTATAATGGCCGACCAAGCGATGCGGACACGGGGCCATGCCCGCCAAATCTTCCGCATATCAGCACGCGCCTGTAAAAAGAGCGCCTTTGTCGTTAACAGGCCCAAATCGTTACCACCTAGGTGGATCACTAACACATCAGGAGGTAGCCAGCTCCTGGAATCAAACAACAAGGGGGCACAAACCGTCCCAACACAGGCCTCATTCGCCTCTCCATTGTACAGCTGCAATGGAAGCGAGACCCAAATGCTGGCCATAGGCAGTCTTGTGGGCTTCTCTTCCCGCCCAGAAGACAAAACTGTGTCCGCACACCAGGACCCTCTATCTATGTGCCAGCCCAACGTGACCAATGATAACAATAACTATAATGAAACTGGACGTACGTAACTCTTAAACGCGCTGGACCTCCATCTGCCTAAGGCCTTAATTTTTTCCTCTTCATATCCCATTGCTGATGCTGATGAGGCCACGCCAATCCTAAATGAGTGTGTGTCGAATTTAAGGTGTCCCATCCCCAGAAGGTCCAGTGCTTTGGTTGTAACTGTCCAAAACTGATTAATTGGTCAGCGGTGTTCCGTCCTGATGACGGAACAGGTAACTTCCCTCCGTGCCCCTGAGTGCCGTAAATTGTGCCATAGCTGAAACTGGGCACAAATCTTCTTCCCCGCATCTTAGCAGGCTGATCACCTGACCCTTTAGCCCCCTGATCTGTTTTTGAGGTTCTGATTTTGATTTCAATTTTATCTTGGAAAACCTTAACATCAGAAACGAGCAGAGCGCGGTGTGAGGTATCAGACTTGGATAAAGACACCCATTCACTCACACGAAGGGCTGCAAAAAATGCCATCAACACTGCTGCATGAAACAAAGCCTGCTCGTATAGTGATGCGCACAAACGGGGCCATATTTGCCTAAGTCCCTTAAGAATTGTAGGTGTCAAGGGCTGGCGGTCATCCTTGGGATGCCCGCACTGCCTAGACCATCCGGCTATAATTTTGTGGATGCGAAAGTCGTCAGTGGGATCGCTAAGGCCCTGGGCCTTAAACCAATATGCGAGCGCTGACAACTTTGATTTGATGGATTGTGGGGCCAAACCTCTCCTTTTGTGGTAAACACAAAACTGAGCCAAGTGCTCATAAGGCACCGGCATGGACTCGGGTAATTTATAATGCTGCCTAAAGTGTCCCTCAAAGCAAACTCCAAACCCTATGGCGCCTGAAGCGTCCGATGAGACTTGTAAAGCATTCTTAACCATCATCTCCTGTCGCCAAAACGAAACTCCATTAAATTGGCGAAGGAATTGTAGCCAAATGAACAAATCAGACTTTATAGCTAGTGTTATCCTAATGTGATGGTGGGGCATGGCTACACCCGAGATAGCATCACAAAGTCTGCGAAGAAACGCCCGGCCAGGTGCTATTACCTTACAGGCAAAATTTAGATGGCCAATTATCTGTTGAAACTCCCTTAAGGTAGCCTTCTGCCGTGACAAAAAGTGTTCTAACTTATCTATCAAACCCTCAACCTTTGCCGCCGGCAGCCTGGAAAATTGATTAACTGTATCTAATTCTATCCCCAAAAAGATCAAAACCGTATGGGGACCTTCCGTTTTTCCTCAGCCAGAGGCACAACGCCGCAGCAACTGCACTGCTGAATCAAAAGATGTGTAGCTTACTGAGCATTGCTCATTGGGAATGGCGTCATTCACAGAGCCCCCTCTGGGGTAAGACAAATGATGAATGAGGCGATATTCACCGATGGCTTTTTTGGGCACTATTCCCAACGGGGAAAACCTAAACTGAGGCATGGGGGGTGCAGAAAATGGTCCCAGAACCCTGCCATCCTTTACCTCTTTATCTATTTTTTGTTTGACCACTGCCTCCAAGCCTATAACAGATTTCAAATTAGGAGATAAACAGGGGGAACGCGGCCCAAGGGCCGGAATCCGGAAACCATCCATAAAGCCACGAAGCAAATAAATTGCCTCAGCTCTGTCAGGGTATATTTCCAGCCAACCACTAAGAGGACCCACCTTGACTGGGCTGGGGCCCTTTCTGAACATTAGCCTGGGCAGGGTTCTTTCTATGAAACTGGGCGTCCCTTGGATTAAATCTTGCGGGCTTTCCTTTATAACAGGTCTTAGCTGCGTTGTTACCCTGGCATATTGTACAGGCGTGTTGAAATCTGCAGTTCTTGCGGGAGCAAGCTCCCTGCGCCGCATATTCCCAGCACATATGCTTTTGTCTTTGTGGCTGTTATGCTGGGCCTCCTTGCCGAAAGGGCTGACCTCCCCTAGTGTTTTGGATGGTGTGGCCACTACCGGCCTTCTCACCAGAGACGATCTGGTTGTATTCATTACCTCCATCCACAGCTGACTATCAATGAGGTCCCATCGCTTATTAGGCATCGTGGCAGCCTCAGCACGAAAGCGGCTATCATAAACCAGCCACGCCTGACCGGAGTAATTAACATATGCCCCATAAATTATATTTTGATATTTAAACAGGGACTTAGCCCTATATGGATGAGCCTCAACTATCAAGGATGCATAAATGGTGTAGCAAGCTATCCAGTTTTTCCAATTTTGCTCCACCCTCCTCTTCTTTAATTTTTCTTTGCGTTCCTCATCCAGATCCTCTTTTTTCTTCTTCTCTAATT